CTGGTGCTGGCCTGAGCCACATTGGTGGCACCAGCAATTTTATTTGTTCTTCAGCCCCTGGCAACTCCTGAACAGATTGGATTCCTGTCCCAAGAAACGCAGATGCTTCCTCCCAAGCCAGCCTGCCCAGCAGCACTCTACCTCAGAGCAGCATTGTCTGGGGAAAAGGCAGGCTGGTTTCTGAGGGCCCTTCCCTCTTACCCTGGTTACTCCATTAGCCTCCTCTCCTCTCCAAATCCATTCGTTCTCCCCATAATGAGCATAAAGCATGGTTGTCTAAGTGAAGTGTAATTGCCCTGTAAAGAAATGGCCTCATGACAAATATTTAAGCATTTTGCTTTCATGGCCCGAGTTCCCAGAAGAGGTGCAGCTTCATTCTAATTCTGCAGGTGGAAAGTGGTTGGGACATCAAGAGGCAGGTGGGGTAATGCAGTGTGTGATGAAGCTCAGAGCCTCTGCAGGCAGCATGCAGGTAGTGCTGGCAGCTGTGATGAGACCTAGAGGCCCGCTTCCTGCCTCTCTCGTCCCTTTTCATTTTGAGGCTCTCCAGAGTATTTTGCCATCTGTTCAAAGAAGCACCTGTGTTGACAATGTCATTGAGTTCTGGGAGAAAATAGGGTCTCATCTTTTGGGTAGTCATTGTGCCCACAGACCTGCAAGAGCCTTCGTGTTCGAGTGTGTGCAAGGTGATAGAGGCAGAGAGTGCTTTCCAATTAGAAAGTTTAGTTCCATTGTGTGGTTTTGTTTTTGTTGTTGTTGTCATCTTGCACTCACGTGTGTGTGTGTGTGTGTGTGTGTGTGTGTGTGTGTGTGTATGTGTGTGTGTGTGTGTGTGTGTATGCCACAGAGCATGTGGGAAGATCAGGGTATACTACTTGAAGTAGTCTGTTAGGTGGGTTCTGGGAATTGAACTCATGTCACCAGGCTTGGTGGCTACCCACTGAGTCATCTCAGTGGCTCCAAATTGTTGGTTTTTTGTTTTTTGTTTTTTTTTTACTTTTTTTCTTTTGTTGTTCTGTTCTGTTTTGTCTGTTTTTGAAATCGAGTCTCATTATGTATCCTTGGCTGGCCTGGAACTCTTTGTGTAGACCAGGATGACTTAGAACTCATAGAGATTGGCCTGCCCCTGCCTCCTGAGTGCTGGGATTAGGGGCGTACACCACCATACCCAGCACATTTTATACAAACTGTAAAAATACAGGTAAGATTCAGAAACACAGCAAGGAGCTAGCTGGGAACCTCTTTCTAGGCTTAGGTGATGAATCATGATGCTTGATCCCAGAGAGTGAATCCAGCAGTGGACCAAATAAGAAAGAGCTGTAGTCAAATACAAGCTTCTTCTCAAAATAGGAGGCACCTGTGTTTGGCTTAGCAGGCAACTATCCAAAATTTGGGTTGTGGATGGGGAGATGATCGATTGGTGAAATGCTTGACCTTGAAAGCATAAGGACCAGAGTTTGAGCCTCAAATCCCATGTGAAAGAATCAGGCATGGTGGCATGTGCATGCAGTCCCGGCACTTGGGAGATGGAGTCAGGCAAATCCTGGGGTTCACTGACCAGCCAGTCTAGCATAACCAGCAAGTTCCAGGCTAACTGGGAGGCCTTGTCTCAAAAACAAGGCGGCTATCTCCTAAGGAGTGATATCTGAGGTTGACTGCTGGTCTTCACACACATACAGATGGGCACCCACACATTTACATACACACCCAAATATAATAAAATTGAGGGCAGAGGAGATGGCATAGTACCTAGCAGAAGTGGGTACTGATATTTCTGCTTTAATTTTTTTTTTTTTGCTATAAAAGGGTAAAAAGGAAATATGTAAGAAAATGTGACAGTGATGTCCTTCAAGAAACCAAAGACAGAAAAGCAGATGAGACTGACCTGTGTGGGGCATGTTTTGCCCTTTGCTGGGTTTTTCTAGACTCTTGTTGTGCCCGAAACTTCTGCCAGAGTTTATTGGCTTGCCTCCTTAGCATGTGTGCGGCTGCAGGGGCAGCCTGAACTTTCAAGACTTGTTCAGAAGAAGGTGTGTTTATTCAAGTTCATGTAAGCAGAGGTAAATGTAGGTGTGGTCAGGAAGTAGGGCTGGGGCACGTCTCCTGGTCAACATAAGATTAAAGTCAGCTGTATTGCGGATTGCCATGGCTGGTTTCTCACCCAAGGTCATTTTAGGTCATCTGGACTGCAGCTGAACAGAATGCTGCAGTCCAGGGACGACTGATTTGGAGTCATTCCCCAGGTGCCTGCTAAGCAGATCCGGTTCTATCCACCACCAGATTGAACCGGTGTGTGCTGCGGAGCTACAGGGCTCTGTGTTACGAAGCTGAGCTCCTGTCCCAAGCCAGACCTCCACCTCCACCTTTCCATCCACAGCACCCCTCCTCTTTCCTTTTGTTCTTCATTAGTTTTGGATTCTGGCTGAAGCAGGCTTTTGCTGTCTCCCTTGTGTTACCTGGATTTGCCCTTCTTCCAGGCCCCCATGATAAGTAGTTTGACAGGGTAGAGTGATTGGGGCGGGAGGTGTATGGCCATGGGACTGAGAGATATATGGTGTTGACACCTAGAGATTATTCAACTGCCATCCACAGCATGTGCTGATGATAGAAAGAATGATATATGATCTCCTCCGATAGTCAGGCTATGTAACAAGAGTTCTAATTGGTCTTAATAAAAGTCCTGAGTCAGGTATCAGGGTAAGAGCTGAAAGATCGGAGAGATGAAGGAGCAAGCCACAGCCACACCTTACCTAGCTGACTTCCCAGCTGCATAGGGAGCAAGTTCCTGTATCCTCTCTCCTATTATATTTCTCTCTCCCTCCAGGCATCTCACTTCCTGCCTCCACCTTCCTAGTGCTGGGATTAAAGGCATGTGCCACCATTGCCTGGCCTCTACGGTTAGCTAGTGGCAAGCTCCACCCTCTGATCTTCAGACATGGTTTATTTGTACAAACAAGGTATCACCACAGCTGTGTCCTTGTCTCTAAGAATTGAGTAGCCAAGAGGTTGTCAGCATTGGAAGCAAAACAACAGAATGATTACCAAAATCTTGGTGGAAGAGACTAACAGTGGGCAACAGGGAACTATTTGCTTGATTGGTTACTTATTATTTGTGTGTTTTCTTGTATGTGGAGGTCAGAGGACATCTTCATGGAGTTGGTTTTCTCCTTCCACCTTTATGTGGGTTCCAGGGATGGAACTCAGGTCATCAGGTTTGCTTGGCAAGTGCCTCTTCATGTCAAGCCCAGTCTAGCGTCAGCTTGCTGTCTAGCCCAGAATGATCCTTGGCTTCTGCTCCCCCTGCCACCACTCCTCCTGCAGGGCAGGCAAGCACTCTTCCAACTGAGCTATATCCCCGGCTTGGACTCTCTTGAGATTGTTACAGGTTGTGGCCAGGGAAGTCAGGCTCTGGATTCTGGTAAAGTTTTCAGTGTGGGACGGAATGAGGAGCTGGGTGCCTTTAGCCAGGACTGGATGGTGGCATAGATGAAGTCTTGGCTCTGTGTCTGAAGCAACTGATTATTTTAGTCTGTATCATACATGTTTGATTGAGAGCTTTCCGGGTATTAATGAGGTGATACTAAAATGGAGACCAAATGCAAGTGCTTTTGTGTGTTCTTGTTTTTTGTTTGTTTGTTTTTGTTTTTTTGTAATTTTGAGGCAAGCTGTCATTCTATGCCCCAGGTGAGCCTGGAGCTCGCTATGCAAACCACACTGCCCTTAAACTCCTGCCAACCCTCCCTCACCAGCCTCTCCAGTGCTAGAATTACAGGCATAGCTCATCAAGCCTCTTGAAAGTGGTTTTGCTAAATGGGAGGAGTACTCAGAATGAAGTTCATTGAGGAAAATGATGAATTGGAACGCCCGAAATAAACATCTGCACAGGCCTGAAAAATGGCAGTGATTGGGGAAATGTAATGAAAAGACTTGGGGTGTAGGCTGAGCGGGTGGGTGTTCTGCAGCAATGCAGACTGGTGGTTGAACAACCTGTCCAGGACTTGGAATGTGAGCTGAAAACATGGATGTGTGAGGCAACACAAGCTGTATGGGTACCATTGGTCTAGCTCCTCCCCCACCCCCACTGTCTTCCAGCCTGGCAATCTTTAGACTGATTAAACTGCGGGAAGGCTTGGAGACTGACCCACTGGTAAAGGACTTTGGAGGTGGAACTCCTGAGACTTTTTTTTAAAAAATAATTAATTTTCCAGGTGTTGGTGGCGCACTCCTTTAATCCCAGCACTCGGGAGGCAGAGGCAGGCGGATCTCTGTGAGTTCGAGGCCAGCCTGGTCTCCAGAGTGAGTGCTCTCCAAAGCTACACAGAGAAACCCTGTCTCGAAAAACCAAAAAAGTAAATAAATAAATAATAAAATAATAAAATAATTTATTTAACTTTATTTTATATGCATTGGTGTGAAGGTATCAGAACCCCCTAGAACTGGAGCTACAGATAGTCGTGAGCTGCCATGTGGGTGCTCTTAACTGCTGAGCCATCTCTCCAGCCCCTGGAGGTAGAACTCATGGAGAATAGCTTAGAATTCACTTTTTTTGTATGTAAAAAGCCTTGGTTCCAGCCCTTAATCTTCACTGGGGGTGGAGTGGTATGTCAGCAGCACTTGGTTAGACACTTGGAGCACTTGTCTGACAGTGAGTCATTGAATGGCAGGATGAATTATTGAGAGAAGGTTTTGGTATATAGAGGAGACTTTCAAAGCAGGCTGTATTTGCATCTCATTGGAATGGCTTAGGTCTGTCTTAGGATGTTTAGGTGTCAATATGGTTCTAGGTGGTGGCCAAGGGGAACTGATGGCTACTCAGGTCCCTGTTCTAACCTGGAGGTTCTCCCAGAGCTTTCCCTGGAGTTGTCCACATGCTCATACATCCCAGGGATGCTTGTCATGGACTGCACAACTCCTCAGCCCTTGCTGCCAGGCTGGCGGCTGGCTGTGGCACTGCAGGATGGCTGGTCTAATCGGAATCCACTCCTCTGTTCTCTTCACAGTATGAGTTTAAAGCCAAGAACATCAAGAAGAAGAAAGTGAGCATCATGGTCTCTGTAGATGGTGTGAAAGTGATCCTGAAGAAGAAGAAAAAGGTAAGTGACCCTGAACCGGGAACTGGCAAGCCAGGCGTGGGATACCATTTCCTTCCAGAACATTATCCAGTGGCCTCTGCTTTGGCTAGCAGTAATATTGCTAAGCCACAGTTGGAACAGAGTGAGGCAGAGGCCTGGGGCCTAGTGGGACTATTGCTAAAGAGTGAGTCTCAGTCACTCACAGCTTGTGGGTCATTTCCAAGCATCCTCATGTTCCAAGTCTCTTCTCCATTTGAATACCTTTATCTTTTAGGGGTGTGTGTGTGTGTGTGTGTGTGTGAGAGAGAGAGAGAGAGAGAGAGAGAGAGAGAGAGAGAGAGAGAGGGAGAGAGAGAGGGAGAGAGAGAGTAGACAGACAGGGTCTCATTACGATGACACCTAGACTGAACTTGAATTTGTGTCCCTCCTGTTTTGGCCTCCCGAGCACTGAGATGACAGGCCTGTTCTCACACCTGGCTTATGTGAGTCTCCTAAGGGGAAATACTTCCACATTAAGCGATACACATGCAGCATCCCTCGACTGAAATCCACAGTGCTTCAGAATTTGAAATTGTTGGGGTGTCATGTCAATACTGCAAAAGTTTCTGATGTTAGGCTGTCCGAATTCAGATTTTCAGACTGGTCAAGTCTATACAAATATTCTCCAATGAGCATCCCCTCCACCAGGCCTCTGAAGTGTGAAACTCACTAGAGTTAAATGTTTTGGATGGAGATCGTCAACCTGCAGTTAGTAACAAGCTTCAGAGTGGGCACACCTGAGAGGAGACAGCCACACTTGAGAGGCTCCACACTCAGCCCCACCCAAGTGCCCTGCAGCCCCCATTTATGGGACTTGTGGCCTTCTTTCACAGCTGTTGCTACTGGGTAGTGCCTTTTCCCTGCCCCCACATGTCTACACACTGTACACAGCCGTGAGGGAGTCCTAGAGCATGGACAGTCTTGAGTAAGAGAGTTGATGAAGCAAGTGGATGCCTATTCGGTCTCTGGGATTGAAATTAGAAGTGAGGTGATGCTAACTTGAGTAAGACATATATTCCAGAGTTGGAGGAACCAGTAGAACCCACGTCCCCGGTTCAGGGAGACTGGTTTCTGTCATGTGTGTTAGATTGCTTTCCCCAGGCCTTTACATGAGGGGAGTTGGTCGCTCAGCACCCTCCACTGATGAAATCATTTGTGAACATTTTCCAGGTGACAGGAGGCTTTCACACCCACTGTTACACAGCCCTTCATCAGTCACTGTGGCCATTTCATTGGCTGGTGATTTCTTCACAGACTTACCCAACCCTTGCCCGGGGGCTGAGTTATTAGTCTTTGAAGCTACCAAACCAGGGAGCATTGTAGAGAAGCAGGACGTTTGTAGGAAAGCAAGATGGGGAAGGGTGCTCTGAAATCTGCCTTCTGGCTGTGCTGGGGCATGGGATCGTGAACACACTGCAGGTGCAGGTGCAGCTGCCTGCACAAGAGCTACACAAAGCAGCAGCAGGGTGCCGCAGTAGGAGGAAGGCTAGTTAGGGAGGAGGAGGAGGAGGTCACCAGCAGGGCGACCAGTGAGAGGAGGAGAAGGGGGGTCAGCTGGAATGACAAGGAAGCAAGACAGGGTAACGGGTGCAAATATGTCAACATGTGTTCAAAATTGTCAAAAATTTAAAAGGGAGAAAAAAACGCATAATAAACCTATTCTCTGACCTTAAAAATCATCCAGACTTAGAGTTTTGAAATTATGACCCTAGGGATGCTGAATCACATTGACCAACTTAAGGCAGAAAATGTATAAACTGGACTAATAATTTCTTTTTTATTTATTTTTTATTTTATTAGTTCAAATTAGGAACAAGCTTGCTTCACATGTCAATCCCTTCTCCCTCTCCCTCCCCTTCCCCCCCCAACATCCCACCTGCCCCTAGCCATCCCCCCTCCACTCCCCAGGCAGGGTAAGGCCCTCAAAAGGGGCTCCCCAAATGGACTAATAATTTCTTAATCCACTCTGAAACAGAATTGTCTCCTGGACCAGAGACTAGCCTGACAAGCACATATTTCCTACCAATTGGAGGCAAATTAGTACAGGGTTGCTGGGTGGACACAGAGGTGGGCCAGCTCTGCCTGTTTACATTAGGAATGCTGAGTCCACTGGTGCTCATAATGACCTCCTTGGGAGATACAATTCCTCAAGTCTACATGACAGTCCTGGCCAAAGCTTCTCTGAATGACTATCTGACTTCTGTCATCTATGGCTAACACTCCCCAAATCTCCACACCACCTCGCTGTGCCTATTACTTCTAATTAGGCCCCCGAGAACTATTATGTCCCCTTTAGATAATTTAGTATACCTCTGCTATCATCCACTATGGAGTCACTTCAGATCTTGTCCTCAAAGGATAGTCTTATTTTCCATCTCACTCAGGGCTCCCCCTTGTATCAGGTACCCTGTGTGGTGCCATCTCCATCATGTCTTGGAAGACAGGCTTGATCACACACTGACAAGGGCAGCAGAATGCTGGGGTGTTACCTGGGAGAGAAGCCACCCCCTCTTTCCCTAAGTACATGAAAGCTAAGTGAGGGCAGCGTGTCCCTGAGGGAGTCCTGGGGACTTGTGACTCACTCTGAAACTGCATGCTTGGTAATCTCTAGCATTTGCCCTCCTGGCCTGGGGAAGGAGGCAGTGTAGCAGGTCAGTCCTAACTCTGATTCTTCCCGTGCCAGCTTGGGAAAGAGGAGGCTCCTATCTTATTTTCTCCGCCCACGCCTGGTGTCCATTTCAGGGCCTGAGCTGTGATGTAGATAATGCCTTTAATCACGATGCGCATATTCTACCGCCTCTGGCAAATGAATGTGCATTAGCTGCAATCAGCCTTTTTGTCATCTACTTCCCACGTGACAGTCCTGGTAGCTGAGAGTGCTGCCACCAAGCTCAGGCATGCACACACTCTCTCTCTCATGTATAGGGTTGAGAAGTGTGTGACGTGCCACGATGTAAATGTTTAGTTTTCTACAAGAAATGGAACAGTCAGCAAGTGCCAGGAGTTAAGGCCACCATGGTTAAGGGCTGGCCCTCTTGCCAGCTATCCATAGGCAAAGCAGCAGCACAGCTTATGTTCAGCCTGGCATTCCTGCCTAATACTCAGCAATTAGCTTGTAAGATGTTGACTGGTCCTCTCTACTGTAGGGAGTATGTTTGTTCCCACTGGGTCAGTGTGACATGTTGAAAGGAGCCCTTGGCAGAGACAAGAAGACCTGGGTTCTAGTCTTGGCTCCACCCTTTCCTGGCATAGGTTCTGAGCAATTCATTTTGAGCTTTTAACTATGAAGTGAAGAGATGGCTTGGCGGGGATCGTTGTAAATTTTTCAGTTCATATCTCAACACAAGCCATGGAGCCATAGTTTTTAATGCTTATATACAGATCGGGGTCACCTGTATGCACTTAAGCCCCTGACAACCTACTTGTCTGCAGAGAAGTAGACCTCAGAAACTAATGGGTTGGTGGTACTGTTTCAGTCTTTTGGGACACTCTGAGGTCACACACCTCCCAGAACAGCCATCAGGCCTCCTCTTTGTCTTCAAACTACCCACAACTGATCAGTGATGGAGTTCTTCCCACCAGAAGAGACATGTTTTAAAGGGGCTCCTGTCGCCTAGTGAGCTTATCAGGGCAGGATTATCTTGGTGAGCTCAACATTTTCCTGGATAGCCTGCCATTTTTAGACTGTGTTCATTAACTGTGGCTGTGGGCTAGCTGGATGAACGGATGTTATTTGTGTGGTAGTGTCATTAAATCCAGAAGAAATCTGCAGTGAAGTATTAACTGTTGCTTCTCCTCTTCTGTCACTATGAAGGTTTAAGAGGCTGAGCAGGGAGTTGGGGAGATTACTGAGCTCAGTTCCCAGAACCAGTGTAAAGACACTGAGCATGGGGGTTTGAGGCATGGCTCAGTGCACAGAGAACTTGCTATGGAAGTGTAAGGACTCAAGTTCAAGATCTTCAGCACCAGGTAAAATCCAGACAGGCATGTGGGCTGTCTGTAATCCAATACTGAGGACATGGAACCAGGGATCCTGGCTAGCTAGACAAGCTGGAATCAGTGAGCAGTAGTTTCAGTGAAAGACTCTGCCTCAATAAATAGAGGATAACAGCAGGCATCAACTTTGGGCTTTTACATGTACACATATGCAAATGCATACTTATTCCCACATACACATGCCCACCACATATAAAGCTGAGCATGCTACAGTCCAGCAATGGGGAAGTGGAGACAGGTGCATCTCTGGGACTTACCAGCAGCCAGTAGAGCCTCCTTGTTGAGTTCCAGACCAGGGAGAGACCCTGTCTCAAAGACTAAGTTGGATGGCTCCTGAGGAATTACACACCTGGGACTGACTTGTGCAAGCATGTCACACACAGACACACAGACACACAGACACACACACACACACACACACACACACACACACACACACACCAATCAAAAAAAGGATCAGTGTTTAGTTCAGGTGGCTCAAATTGTCATGCATATTCCACTAGTGTGGGCAATAGCCAGATAGGTTATGGTCATCCCATTGCCTATAAAAACCATTTTTTGGGGTTGCTAACAAGCATCTAGGAATGCACTCTTCCTGAACTGGTGCCAGCAGATAATGAATCTTAAGTTGAATTAGTTTCAGAAGCTCAGTTGCTAAGATAATTAGCTTTGCTTTGATGTGTTCCAATCAGAACATCATTTTCAATGTTCAAGGAGACCCAAGTAGTTATCTTTTCTGTGTATCTAATCATGCTTATTTATTATAATCCCAGAACCACACTGTGGCAGCATTTGCTGGGGAGTAGAATCCTAAGATTAACCTTGAACTTCGCCCAAGGAATTTTTCTATTAAATAGCTCAGCTTCATGTTTTCAGATTTTTTCTGTAAACCACTTGCTTTGTTGGAATCCCCCAAGGTAACAGATTACAATGGCTTCAACATTCTAATGAACAAATACTTACCGTGGATCCACCATGTTCTTGGA